GCATGTGTAGGGAAGGCTCTGACTTGCCGAGGCTCCCAGATAATCGGCTGTCATTTTTCGGCCAAGCTGGGCACGACCCGGGCTGCTGTCCTTCTCTTTATCTCGGAGCTTGAAACGGGCCGTAGCAACACAGGGCATGCTGGAGACGCATCTCTGTAGCCCAGTATCGGATTGCCTCCGCCAGCTGCACCCCAGTAAGCTATTTCCTCTGTTCTTCTATTATGACAACCTATTTTTTTATTTTTTTATTTATTTCATTCTCTTATTGGCTGCCCTTGTCTTTTATGCAGGGTGTCCTATCAATTGACCATTAAATGAGTGGTCACTGATGAACGATCCTCCTCTACAAATTGTCATGTGGCAATGGTTTCAAACAAGCCACATATCTGTAAGTATAAAAAACAAAATAGAGGAAAAAATTATGTCGATGCATATGCCCAGTGTAAGATGTCATGAAATGTAGTACCTAATTGTTTTATAAATGCATCAGAGGGCTAGCAATATGTGCCTCACGGGTCGAGATTGAGTAGTTTCAGTCGTAACTGGCGAGCTAGTCGTGGAGCTGGATGGCAGTAATTACATTGAAGAAATTGAGGATCTGGTCAGCGATGGCTCAGAGGAAATCGACTCATAATATGTATTCTTGAGTCGGCTGCCCTAGTCCATCGTCTTTCCTTTCTCCCCACTCTTTTTTTCTGTATTCAGGACTCCAGTTTGGGGAAATAATCTTTTGTAAAGAAACAGATTATTTTTTATTATATGAATGGTCAAATGCCAAAATTTCTTCACGTGTTCTAAGTTATTATGGAATGTATTTTTGCTCTTAACTGTGCTTACACGTCTTGTTGATCCCGAGAGTCGATATAACAAAACAAGAATTTCTAGCTGTTTGGCTTCCTAGTGGCATGAAAGCCACTAATGCTTGCAGTGGAAGCCAGCTATCAAGCTTTCCCTTGGCTAAAAAGCTATAACATCCATACACTACTTTCAAAAAGCTTATCCCTCTTTTTAGAGAAGCTCCACTCAAAACTTTCCCAAACTCTTAATTTATTTCCCTATTCTTCATAAATCGATCCTTTGGTACTCTATTATTTGAAGCATTGCCTGCTGCAAGTTTTAGCCGGAAGACTGGAATCTAACTTCCCTTATCGAAACTCACGCTTACTACTAGTTTCTGGAATTGGTAGTCCAATCCAGGACTGTTGCAGAAGGTTGATTTACTATTTTTGACCCTTCGGACAAGCCTGTTCGTATATAAGACTGTTGAAATTTTGTTCATTATGTTGAGGAGCTTAACATCATCTTGAAGAATACCCTGACTGAAGAGTTCCTACAGTTACCCCAACTTGATGTTGACCGACTGCTTCAGGTCACTGCCCTCTGTAATTGGTTTCTTGTCTTGGGTTTAATGAGATTTCCAACTATGACTTCGAGCTGATGTCGTGCCCCTGCGACCAACTTATATATTCTTATGTATGTGTGGACCCGCACTAACCGTACAGCTCTGCTTTGTTCTGTTTCTGCATTTCTGAGCCAAGTAACTTATTAAACTTCTATTTTTTCTTGCATTGAACACTATTGTTTTTTTTTGTTTCTATTTTGTTCTTTCTTTCTGTTTTGTTTTTCTTTGGTTTTTTTTTGGCCATTAGTTCGATGAAGTAGTGCTAAGCGATCACACTCGCTCGATTTGTCCATGTTATTTCTCAGCGTTAAAGTACCTTCACTTTGGCTAGGATGAGTAAGTATGCTTCGAGAATCTGTCTAGCTCGGTTTCTTGGTTCCGATGGGTGATGCTCAACTTTCTATTCCTGCATGGTAAACATGCAATTTCATTTTCTTTTTGTTTGCTTTTCTTCTTTCTTTTTTCTCTTTTTATTATTAAACTATTTTTTTATATGCTCTAACTATACTTTTGCTTACATCTGCCCTTGTGTGGGTTTCGACTTAACGGAGCTGCTTTTTTTTCCTTTTTTTCTCTTTTTGTGATGCATTTAACATGCTATTACACTGTTGAGAAGTTCAGCTGATGGACAACCGAATCGAGCATTGATGTTGTGATTATAGACCGGCGAGTCTATAGGAAAAACAACAAAAATATCACTGCCAATAAAAAAATCAAAAACCTCATTTGAATTAGATCCCAAAAACCGTAAAATCAAGAAAAAAAAAGCCAATACTTTGAAAACCAAAGAAATATGAAGAAGAAGAACATCAGGCTATAAGTAAAAAAAATGAAGTTGAAAATAATATTGTAGATTTCTCCTTAATCCGAGTCTCTAACATGGCTTATTGTAAATGAAACCATCTAATACAACCAACCGAACAATAATCACTTTTATTGGGGTGTTTGTTTTACACCTGGTTCAACTTCATCTCGTGTAGCATTGGCTTTAGTTCTGTCATGTTTGCTCGGCCGCTGGTGATCTTGGCTATTGCCCCGACAGGATTTATCAATCTCCAATTAAAAATATATAAACTAATCGGAAAACTTGTCAAACTTTTAGATTTAGGATATAAATGAGTTGATTCCTTTAAGAAATTGAAGAAGAGCAAAGAAGAAAGTTTTAAGCAGAGAGAACGAAACAATAGGCTGGAAATGGATATAAGAATGAAGTATACGGTTTTGATGCATGGGTAATGGATTAGGTGAATGTAAATGCGATTGACAGATAATGAATGTGGCAAAACTAATGCCTATTTGGAATGCAGTTTCCCCACACTATCAACAGTTTTACATTATTTAATTTTTACTGTTGTTGATTGTACAAAGAGTAAATTTAATGTTAGTTATTATAAAAAAGTAAAATTTAAGGCCACAAGGTCATCCTGAAAAGTTAAGTTGGCCAACAAGGTTTATTGGTGGAATCCAGAGCATTTAATGTATTTCGCTAAAAATAAAATAATATTCAACCTAGAATTGAATTAGCAAGATCGATCGTGATAAGTTATTCAATTATGTGGGTTTAATATTTCCACGATCAAACTTCCATGTCAAATTTTCAGAGAGCGAAAGAGAGGCATGGTGGTGGGATGGAAAGGTGGGAGAAAGGCAAAACACAAAACAAATATATAAAGAAAAATTATTTTTTATTCTATAAAATAGATAAAATAATAATATTTTTAATTTTGACCGAAAGAGTACAATTAAAAAATAAGTTTTCGAATTGTGGTTTTAATAGTCAAGTCTATATATATTATTATTATAATATAAGATAAAAGAGCATGAGAAGTCTATTTTAATAACAGTCCAAGTTAGTAGTTTCTCAAATTGCTAAGTGTAAAATGATCAGTTATTTAGCATAATGTAAGAAGATAAGTTGTGATGAAAAACAATTGTAAGAAGATAAATTTGTTTAATTATTTTCAGATAATGGTCATAATAGAAGAAAAAACTATTAATTATTTTGAAATTAAGAAAAGAATATAAGGGAAAAGAAATTTCAATAAATTCTTCTCTTCAAATGTAGAAGTAAAAAAACTATAAAAAATAAAATTGTAAAGAAAAATTAATTCTTGTTTTTCTTTATATCCAAAAAAATAAATAGCTAAGTTTTTACGTAAAAAAAAATTTATTCCTTCTTATATTTTTTCTTAAATTTAATTCCGATAAAAATAGCAGTAATTCACAAAATTAAGGCCGACCTAAATTTTGTTCTCTATTCATTGAGTTTTTAATTCAATACTCTGCCCTCCCGTTTAGTGTTACGCTTTGAGGAAAATTGATCATTGGAAGAATTGACTTCTGAACTCCCACTTCTTTAACTTTGGTTTTCTTTCTCGTCTATTATTTATTTCTTCTTTTATATAAAAAAAAAGTAACAGTAAGTGTTTTCGAAAAAATTTTATTTTCCTTCTTATTTATGAATCATTCATTAATAAAAAAAATACAAAACAAATAAAAACATGTTCATTTTTTCTTTGGTAAATAAAAAAATCTGATTGATTAAATGTAATACCCAATGTTTATTTTCAAAACTTTTGAATTTTATTAAAATCAAAAAATCCGAATTTTTGTGATAGTAATGGGTTGTTAAAGAACAGATGCAGTCTAACTTTAAGCCCAAAGTTGAATTGGGCCCAAGCCCAAAAACAGATATATCCGAAAAATTTCGATAAAATAAAATGGAACTCACTATAATTAACTAAATTATCCAAATTAATTTATTGTTATTATTATTATTTGTAGCTATTTAGAAAGTAAATTGAAGAGATTTTGTATACCAACTAAAATAGAATTAAATAAATAAAGCCGGACTCACGGAAATCAATTAAATTGTTTCAAATAAGCACACGAATAATCGGAAGAAAAACCCGACGAAAGCTCAAATAATCAAAGAAAATAAGCCAAACCGTTAATCGACCTAAAACGTTCGATCGAACCACAGTGGCCATCACCCACGTTTCCTTTCTTTTTCTTTCTTTCTTTCCTCTTCTCTTCTTGCTTCTCCATCGCGCGACAGCTCCCTCCTCCCTCTCCTTCGATCTCCGACCACTACTCGACACAGAACGGAGTGGCGATCGGTTTCGTCCGGCGCCGGTGGTCCTTGATGCCAAACTTCCCCTTCACACAGATCGGACCGGCCAGCGGCGCGGATGAAGCCTGTGCCTCTCACTGCGACCGTCTCCTCTCCATTTTTGGCGATTCCACGCATTTCTGGCGGTCCCAGTGTAGGAAACGGGTGTTTATTGACTCTCTATCCACGCTGTGAATAAAATTCCCGTCTAACTAATTTTGTGGATTTAGACGTTTTGAAGAGCAACCGTGCGCGGAGAGATGTCGCGACTGGTCGAGCCCGATCCGGCCATCAATGAATCGATCTCACTAAATTAACACTAGAAATGAAATCCCTTGGGAATTTTGAGGTTGAATGGTGTGATCGTTTGCAAATTGTCTAGGCAAGGATGATTTTCCCGCCACCATGCAACGGCCGGCGACGGCTGGTGCTCCGGTGAGGATCCGGCGTACTCCGAGAAGGCCAGAATAATCCCTCCTTCGCGTGGATCACGAAAGGATCACGAAAATCAAATCCGATTTTCGATCGGTACATTGTAAGGCCTAGTTACTCGTTTTCGGTATAAATTTCAAAACTTGGATTAATTAATTAATTGACTATAAGATTAATTGAATTAGTCAAAGTTGGATATTTATGAATTTAGATACAGATAATTGAAGTATATGAACATCGATTATAGAATTGGACTTCTAGGTAGTTAATGGATAATAAAGATTTTCACCAAAAAAATAGAGATGCTTAAATTCTAAGGTATCAATCAAATTAATACGTAAATATCGTTAAGTATGATTAATTATATTAATTTACTAACGATACTTATCTGAAAGATATAACCAAATAAATAAATAAACAAGGATAATGAATCTATATATAGTTTAATAAATTAATATATTATTATCGTTATGAATAATATATAATCAATAGTATTATCATTATTAATATTATTATTATCATTATTAATATTATTATTATTATTATTGTTAGTAATATTAATATCTTGAGTATCATAAAATATTACTTACCGAATAACTAGACGTTTTATTTAAAGAATAAATTAGAAGAATAAATCAAATAAAGAGACCCTATAGATATACAGTTTAGTTTGATAAGTTAATGAACCGACGGATAACGAAAACAAATAAATGAATGTAAATTGCATTTTTCAAATTAGAATTCTTATGTAGAATTTTCTTATTATATAGATGCTTACAAAGTTTCGGAATGTAAAGACAAAGGCTGGAAGCGCACAATAAGAAAGGCAGTCCTTTTAAGGACAACAAAAACTGTGAGTAGTGTTGGATAATTCGCCTTATCCGCCTGCATTCATGCATTCACGGCTAAATATTATCATGCATTATTTTGTTGAATTGCCATATTGTGATGCACTATTTGTGGATACTAAAAACTGTTTGATTACTTGTAATGTGATATTGCTGTGCCTTGTTTGTGTGGAATTAGTGTTTGTGTGGAATTAGGATGAAGTGGGTCACCATAGGTTTGTGAGACCGTTACCGTTATATGGATCCTGATTATGACTACCGTTACCGTTATATATCGTTACTGTTATATGGATCCTGATCTGATTACTGTTAGCGGGTAAATGCGAGATCGGCGCCCCCATGTGCACCTACCGTTACCGTTACCGTTAATCACATGATGGCTTCTTGTTGTTGGCACCTGATAATTTAGATTTGATTGTAACCCGCAGGGTGGCCTCCTATTGTGAGCACTTGATGATCTAGATTGGATGGAGACCACCGGATTGCCTCCTGTTGGTATATAAAAAAAATAAAAGGGAAAGGGATTATGCTAAAATCACAGGTTGGCCTCTTGTTGTTGGCACCTGATAATCTAGATTTGATTGCAGCCCGCAGGGTGGCCTCCTGTTGTGAGCACTTGGGTGGCCTTCTGTTGTGAGCACTTGATGATCTAGATTGGATGGGACCACCGGGTTTGCCTCTGTTGATATATATATAATATATATATTATATTATATATTATATATATATATATATAATAAAAAAGAGAGAGAGAAAAGAGAACTGGCAAAATAATGAAAGGACTGGTCCGTGTGAGGTTTTATACCAGTCGGCCAGAAATGGGGATTGGCTCCCTGGTGCACATGTGAACGTGGATGGGCGCTGTGGGAGGATGGCTTTCATCGGGTTTCCGGTGACTCCCAATTAACTAAATTTCGCACATGAAATGTGATTTATATGAATGTGATAATACTTGTGATTGCTGTTGTAATTGCATTTGGGGTGACAAACTGCATGATCATATTAATTAAACGATAACCACATAATATTTTAGCATCTGTGTGATTTGTATGGTGAGAGGGTTAATTAACTCTACTCATTGAGTTTTTTGGGTCGCTCACCCCTGCCCTACTATTTTTTTTTTTGTTCCACGGTGATAGAAAGAAAGGAAAGCCCTATGGAGTTGAGACACTTTATTGGTTAGCAAGACCTGTTACATGATAGAAATTAATGATGTAAAATTTAAAGGTAGAGTTCTGCAATTGTATTCCAGTTGGGTTGTCAAATAAATAATAAAAGTCCATCATTACTATCTGAACTATATTTGGATGCATATGTACATAATACAGTTATAATAAGTTAATAGGCCTGAATCCATAATTATGAATAGAATGTGAGATTTAAATAAGTTAGGCTTACTACGGGCTTCGGGGGCCTTAAGCCCACCCAGTCCTAGTGCCGGTCCGGCCCACGGAAATGGGTCGTGACAATTAATTTGGTGTATAGAGTAGTTTCATATACCAGAAGCTAGGTTGCATATACACGGAATGAGATATGGGAACGTACGTGGTACGGTAATTTTTAAAAAAAGTAGAACATTCACATGCTTAGGACATATTACACTAAATAAGTATAGTACATTAATATTTCAAATAAATAAATAATTATTTATAATAAATTGTAACTTAAAATAAAAAATAATTAATTTCTTATTTCTCAATATAATTAGTTTTAAACTTTCTCAATTAAATTATCACTGTTGAAAATTCATTAATAGTGTGTATTTTTTTTTGTAGCATAGTCGTATTGGGGGTGGTCAAATTGAGTCATGGGGGTGTCAAAATGAGTCATGACACGCAAAGACGATTCGCTTAACACGCGAAATAAATGTATAAGGTTGAGGTTAAACGGGTTCGTGTCATAAACGAGTCACCCATTTATGACACGAATATAAACATGTAGTGTAGCGGACTGACATGTGAGTTAAGTGAGTAATCCGTTTATTTAAGAGTAAAGAGGTAATTTTACTATTAGATATAAATACTCCAACTAAAACATATTTAAATTTTATTGTTGTTTTTTTTTATGAATCTTGAAGAATTTATGTATTTTATGTATGATAATTTTTTTTAAAATATAATTGGAGCTAAATAGGTTTAAATTTAAAAATAGTATAAGTAAGTTACGTGGGTCGTATACAAGTTAATTTGTTTATGATATTAATCGGATTACATGGGTTGTATATAGGTCAACACAATCCACTTAACCTGTTTATGATATTAGATGATTTAAACGTGTGGTGTTGGTGTCACCTGTCTAATTTTCGTGCGGTGTTCATGTTGGTAAATTTAATACAATCATTAAATTAGTTGCGTTTGAATTGACCCTAATCGTATCCCGTATTTGGCGAATCTGTGTCGAATCTGACACGCCAACCCATTTTGACATCCCTATGTCATACCATGCATGGATTTTGGTATTGCATATTTTGGTAAAAAGCTTCACAGGATACTTAAGAAGACACATCTTAGTATTGCAACTCTTTTTAGCATATCTCAATGAGATACAATTTTATAATGCATTTCACAATCATTTTATTATACAATTTTATTATTTTTTAAATAGTGTTATAAAAAATTATTTCATCATTTAATATTATTCCGCACATCGCGTGGGTTCTAACACTAGTATTCTTAAAATGAAACACGAAATAATGCCAAGCTTGGAATACTTAAAATGATTAGTCTCAAATATGCACCTTGAACTTGTAGAAAGTAAAGAAAGTTTTTTGAGTTTGCTCAATCTTGTTGACATTTGTGCCCTTATTTTCAGTCTTGATATTATCTCATCAACCTTATGCAGATGGGGCTTGATGTATTCTCCACACCACTCTCCTTACTCTCCCTCTTAGGGATCAGAATTGATCAGATTGTGACATATATCCATATAAGTAGTTATCACCGTGATTTTAAAACAGCCGCTTCCAATTATAAAAAGGGTTAAATTGAAATTAAATAATTTTTAAACGGTTTTAAAGACGATTTTGAAACTATCAATTTTGATTCCATTTTTATTTGAAACTGAAATTAAATAATCCTTTTCTAGCTTTCTAATTTTTTTTTTTGTTTTGTAGCTTAAATAAATAATAATAATAATAATAATAATAATAATAATAATAATACTGTAAAAGACTAAAGAAATTTAATAAGCGTGTTAAAATTTCTTTTACAAAAAATATAATAAAGCAAAAATAAATATTGAAATTTTCTTTAAAAATATATATATATTTTTTACAGTTCCAAACCGAAGCCATTGGTTTTGAACAAAAATTACTGGTTCCGGTTTTAAAAAATAAAAAACCGAAACCGAGTCGCAAACACAGTTTTGGTTACGGTTTATAACTGCATTGACGGTGCTGGTTTTTATCAGTTTCGGTTTCAGTTTAAAACCAAACCCTGGTCATACCTACGTATCATAAAAATATCATCTCATTTGGATCAAGAATATGCATTATCAGACTATATACAATGCAGATATACGCACGCATGCTTGCAGTATTGTTTATTTTTGCTAACACGACGAGCAAACCGATGACCAACAAGCAACCCAATAAACTAACCTTCACTTATCTAGATTCTCACTAAGCATTTTTTTGTATTTTCCTCGAGATATATCATATGCATCATTCCTGGTGTCAAATACAAAGCCAGACAAAGCCAAAGCATTCCCACACTCATCAACAACAGTCACCTCACAATCACAGAATTAGAAAGCTTTATTTTTAACAATCATTTTAAAATTTTTATCGACAGAACTCGAACAAATGTCAACGACTTGTTTAATATGGCAGTGCTGATTTTTTCTTTACATCATCTAAGAGGGCAAGCGCGAGACAAGTTATTACAAGATCAATTCAATTATTCCTATACTTTCCCTGTTCTATAATTTAACAGAATTATAAAGGGAAAAGGATGAAAAAAGTTCAGCTATCAACATAACATAATGTAAATGTCCAATTTATTTTAATTGTACAAGAGAGAATGCTTACTGTAATGGCAATTTAGTTGGAAACCATGCTCTCTGTCTCCTTCACAAAGCCATCTCCTGTCCAATCTTTATCAGACTGCAAACCTTTTTTGACAGCTTTCCTAAGTTCGATTGCTTCTTTCTGTCGTCGTACCAAATCTGTGTGAGTTGTAAAGTAATCGAGAGAGGCCCTGACAAACCAAAGAATTAAAACAAGAAATTAGAGATACAATGCGCTACCAAATCTCTAATCTTGTGCAAAACAATCAAATGTAAATCTCTCTGATAAAATAATGCATACCCTCTAAAGTCTTCTATTGATGAGAAGTTGTGCATTTTCATAAAATCCTTCAGTTCCTCACAAAGCTTCTTCACAAGGCCATATCCATGCATCATAACCCCAGTGCATACCTACAATAAAGAAACCAAAGGTTCAAATGCTTGTGCATATTATTGAGAATTTCAATATGGCAAGAAACTTTATGCTCATAATGCAATAAAGAATTATATCTAATAAAACATAATGCATCTTAAATATAAAAATGCTTTTAGTAACTTCAGAGGTTGGAGTGTATATGTTCTTTTATTCAAGAGAAATATTGAAAAGAGCAATGTCTGGCAGCCTTTTCAATAAGAATCCAATAAAAACTGCTGCAGATCAGAATGAAAATCTAGTAGCCAACAAATAGCATCTCGAAAATCGGTCAATAGCTTAATATATGAACACAAATGATTTTCAAATATTCTGAGAAAAATTGCTGCCAGCACTGTAATAAAAATTGAACAGATTTATCTCAGTTCATATTACTTGGGGGAGAGGAGAACAAGGGGTTCTTTTCACGGTGAGATTAAAGTTAATGTTTTGAGTTTTGAACATTCTGTATCATACAGACTCAATAAGGAAATCATATGGCAAATCAATCAATTCATATGGATTCACTTGACTTCTCCTTAAGTCATGTACATTTGTGATTTTGATGAGATTTTCATATAGCAGAATCTCGAAAATACCTTCAGAATTTAAAATTCAAGAACCTTCTATAAGAACAATTCAGCAGAGAACCACTGTCTACCAGTTATTGATGAATGAAATAAGACAGTTGCAGTCGTGGATCATAAGACAATAGCAAAACAAACATTATCCTTGCCTACCTGAACTGTACTTGCTCCAAGAAGAATAAACTCAGCAGCATCATTACCGGTTTCCACACCTCCAATACCAGAAAGTGAGTACTGCTCAAGGTTAAACTCCGACTTCATCATTTTGGCAATATTCATGACTTTGCCAAGTGCAATAGGATGGACTGCTTTGGAAGAATAACCCCCAGGAGTTGAGTATCTGACAGAAAAATTAAAGTACATAAATTTTTTATACGAGTATAACAATTAACATGAATCTATAATTGCTTTTAAGAATGCAAACCCCTCAACACAGGGCTCCGGTCGTAAGGTTTTCAGATTGATGCCCATTACACTCATGATGGTGTTAATAGCAGCTACTCCCTCACACCCTGAGCTTAGTGCCACCCGAGCTGGCTGTACAACAAAGAAAAATTGGAAACCTCAGATGAAATTCAACCAACAAAATAATGCATGTGGAGGAAATGATGAAGATATTATAAATCCAAAGAGGTGGAGAAGAAAAACAGAAGAAATTGCAGGGCTAAAACATGCAACCAATGCGTATATTAATGCTGTGTTCTGTTATTTATCATAGAACTGTTTTATAAGATGAAAGCATGGAACCTGATTTCATAAATTAAAAGGGCATAAAAATTTTCAATTGTTTCAGATATTTTTAAGAAATGTGTTTCTAATGAATCTCGAGTGAAATAAACAGTGACGCATAGAAAATAGTTATGTACTTATACAACATCAGAAGAATTTGATCAAAATTCAATCATGAATTCAAAAGCAGAGCCAAGAAATTGGCCCATAGAGCTTTTGAGCCCTGTTCTCGAAATAAAGTTCTCCCTATCGTAACAGATTCTAGGAGATTAGAGAATAGAATGGGAACCTTTTAGGATATTGCAAGTTAATTATCCTGACCAAGGTTATAACTTTAATACCCTTAATGCTAACAGATTCTAGTTCTAGATAGAAGTAGGATTCTTAAGAATAGAGCCCAAAAGTATTGGCTTCCCATGGTTGGACAGATTCATATCCAAACCTACCGTACTTAGTAAATCAATTACATCTGTAAAGTTTTACTATCAAATACATTATGAAATTATAACCTGTCTAATTGACTCATGGGAACACCTTTTTATTATCTCCTATTTAAAAATATTACAAAATAAAAAATATCAAATTCAGTCAGCCGTTTTCTAGCAGAAAACAAATTAAATCAGTGCCTCCTAACTTTATACCAGAAGAGCCCATAGAAATTTTTATTGAAAAGCTTCTTTATGATATATAAATGCTCATCATTAGCTTTGTCAAAATGAAGGATATATTAGCCACAATTTTTGTTTACTTTGCACAGTGATAGCCTCATATTAAACTTTCAGAAAGGTCATACAACTACTGTCTTCATCTGACTGCTTATATCCAGAAAGGAATGCAAAAGCCACACAACATGTTTGCTTGTTTAAATGCCAGAAAGCATAGTGTAAACTGCATACTGAAACTTAGAAATGAAAGATGAAGAAAAACAACCACAAAATCAACAAAGGGCCAAAACTAGCAAATCACATGGGTACATGCAAGCTAACTTGCAGATTTCACTTATATTTGACAAGCGTATTGCTTGGGATATGAATATGTTACCTTTCTCCGGTCTATGCATTTCAAGATCAAGTCAAAACATACAAACCAGTAATCAGAAGTAGAAAAAGGTGAAAGATGACCTGTGTTATGTCTGTGATATTTGGAGTCATCTTTGCCCAAACTGGTACTGTAGCTTTAGCATTTACCCATCCACAAACCTCTTCCAAAAGGACACAATCTTGCCCAACTGCTGCGCCCATTTTCCGTTCAGGCATACCATGGGGACATGAGAAATTGACTTCAATGGCATCCTAATAAACAATTTCAGAAATTTTAAATTACATAAATAATCTAGTTCAAAGAATGTCAACAGAAATATATAAAATCAGCTGATGCCTACAACTTACGATGCCAGTTTGTTCAACTCTATCTATAAGTTCTTCCCAGGCAGCTTTATCATACTCCTCCATGATAGAAGCAATAAGAATCCTTTCTGGGTATTCTTCTTTTAATCGCTTGAATTCACTGAGCATAGTTTCAAGAGGTCTATCACTTATAAGTTCTATATTCTCCCACCCAATTATCTGCCCTTTAGCTGAGCCATTTGCACCTGCTCTTAGCCTGGCATATCTAGGAGTTACATTTATAACTTTTGATGCATCAAGTGACACCTATTCAGATAAAAACACCAAATTTCAATATTTGAACATTGCAAATACGACTAACTATTTACAGAACATAAAAACTTGTTTATCTGTCTCCGTAGATCTTAGAAGACTCACTGTTTTGGCGATCACAGCACCCCAGCCTTCGTCAAAGGCACGCTTCATGACCGTATAGTTGGTACCAGGTGGACCAGAGCCGATAACAAATGGGTTAGGCATTTGCAACCCATTAACAGTGACACTCAAATCGGGCTCTCCTTTAGCGCCAGCATCAGCCACCACACGCAACGACCCAATTCTGTTTCTGAGCCGCTGATTCGTTAAAGAAGTCTGGCGAGTCCTGACAGCGGCAAATTCGGCAAGAGAGTGCCTACCTCTTATCTGGGTAAAGCTCAAAGAAGCCATATGGGTAATATGGATCGAACAATCTATCCTCGATTCTTAGTCTCTTCGGTTGGGTATACAAAGAGAAATGGGAATAGGTGATAAAAGCTTTGAATTATGATTGAATCTAAGTTAAAATATTCTGCATAGGCAGGAATCGGAAGGAAAGAGAACGTGGATTGTGGAGGGATGGTTGCGTCTTTTAGTTGTTTCGTTTTTTATTTGATTCTGAATATTCTATTTAGCATTATTGAATTGCATGTGGGTATATCCACCGCCGTTTTATCCTTGTTTTTATTTTTCAGAAAACTGGCAACGAGCTGACATGGATTGTAATAGCACAATATATTAATATATTTTAACTCTGCTCAATTATTATATATTTATTAGATTTTTCCTTAAATAATTTTGAACTATCAATTTATTTATAAATACTAGTTTTCTCAAACATTTAAATCGTTGCTTGTTACAAGTAAATATAATTTAATTTATAAATACTAGTTTTCTCAAACCATTTAAATCGTTGCTTGTTACAAGTAAATATAATTTAATTTTATATATATATATATTATATATATATAAATATATATTATATATATGATTTTCTATTAATTTTTATAAATCTAAAAGCATTCACAAAATAAATAAAAAGAAATTTTGTGAAAAAATAAAATAAAAAATAATAATAAATTTTTTTCAAAATGGGATTAGTTTGATTTTGCTTATTACATTTTATATTATAGATATTATATATTATAGATAGATAGTTATTATAATAATTAATATATTAATCCTTCTTTTAGAGCATTGTTTATACTTTTTTTTCTTTTCCCATTTTGTGCTAAAGTCTATGAGCAAATAATTAATATTATAGTTGCATTTTTTTTAAAATAAAAAATTCTTTCAACGTGTTTTATAATTTGTTAAGATAATGTGTTATATCATAATTTTATATTTATATATTCTTTTGATGAGTTTTATTTTCTATTTTATATCAAATAATAAATCTTATAATATATTTCTTACTTAATAATAATAGATTACATTTATTCTTTGTAGAATAAGGAGAAAATAATTATGATTAATGAATTCCACAAAATTTTATCGAATTCATTTAGAAATCTATATTCTTGTGTTTGGAAAAAAAAAATATAGATTTCAATTGTAGGAATTCAATTCTATAGAATTGAATATAACTACACTAAATTCCACAAAAATATATGAAAGTTCCAAATGCATTCCACAAAACTAAGGAATCCAACCTTTTATGACAAAACTACCATTCTCCTTCTACAAAATTAATTTTTTAATTTCTTACTTATTTAACTTATTTATTTTATCAAACTTGACCAAAATCATTTAAAAAATATTATTTTTTAGAAAAATATTTTATTTTTATTGTGTTTTTTATTTTAACATTTTTCATCTTTTATTTTAATATGTTTTAACATTTCTTTACTAATGAGGAGAGAGATTCAAGTAAAATATACATTTATCATTAAATTAAATGTCATAATTTTATTAATATTATTTTTATTTTATACATTTATTTTAATAAATTAAATGTCATAATTTTATTAATATTATTTTTATTTTATACATTTATTTTAATAAAAATACAAAAAATTATATAGCATAATATAAGTATTATTGGTATTTATTACTTATTTTTGTAAAGTTACTATTTCAAGAACATTTTAGGAAACAAAACAAATGAATTTCAATTATAAATTTATTCCATATATGATTTTATAGGATTCAAATGAATTACATATTTTGTGGAATTCTCCAAAAATTCATTTACAAATAAATTTCATATTAAATTCATTTATACCAAGCGGAGCATGATAGACAAAACATTATTAAATTAGAAGAGAATTAACCTATAAATAAAGGATCAACATGTAAATTAGTAAATATGATCTTGATATTAGGAGATAATGCCCCCTAATATCTCTCCCCTGTGTCACTCATGTAACTAACTTTATTCTATTCTTGTATATAAAACCTAATACCACTCCAAGGGTTAATCATCATTCTATATTCAATATACATTTGCAATCTCCATTTATCATTGTGAATACAATATTTTGAGATTATCAAATTGGTGTAGTGAGCGTGGATCGAACCATTTTCACGCCTTTAGATCAATAAAAAGAATGCTCGCCCCTAATTGTTGAATAGCTAAATAGATCCTCACAACAAAATGGAAAAAACACCTGTTGCTGCAGTTGGAGATATAGTCAGAGCAGGGAGCTCAATGAAGAAGATGATCCTCACACCCTAAAATATGTTCGCCTTAAACCCTCAAGTAGCAGCGCTATTGACCCAAGCCTATAACAATTTTCATAATAATGCTGGAAAGGATAATGGTGAAACCTTTAAATTCTGTATCACAAATACCTCCTGGAGGAAGATGACGAGGTAATGTCACGATAGAAGAAGGAGGTACCGCGGATAGACAACTAGGTGACAAGGCTGAGTATGGTGATCCTCTTGGCACAAAAATAGCCGGAATAGTACAAACATATAGGTGCAATCCACGCCTTGCTAGGAAACACATGTCACGGTGATGAAGAGGAATTCCAAACAAAAACCCTGCAAGTCCTGAAAGATTTCCAAGAAGCTGAAGACAACACCGATTTTGGGTTAAGAAATGCTCACCCTTAAGCCTTGAAATCATGCTGGTGAACCTCCCCTACAAGAAGATGCCGACGTTCGAGACTTACGATAGAACTATAGACCCTCGGATTTGATAGATTTGAAGAGAACATAGGACGAGTCACTCTGAGACTACATCACCAAGTTTCAAAAACTTGTTATGCAAATAGACGACCTCAACACCGAAGTGGCCATCAACACCATGGCTAAAAATTATAAGTATAGCAAACTTTTCAATTCATTAAACATTGATAGCCTTATTCTTTTGTAAAACTGATGGCCCGAGCCAATAACTTCACAAGACTAGATGAAGCATGAAAAGCATGACAAGCACCAGCTAAGGACGTGAAATCCTTAAGGAGGCCTGACAAGCAAAGAAGGTACTCCCCCATGATGGTTAGTAGACCGAACATGTTCAGATTGAGCTATTCCCTTAGGTTACCTTATACTCGAAATAGGAGCTCAGTCGTCAAAGAAGAAGATTTCACTCCCTGGTTAAAAAGTACATCCTACGCTGGCTAAAGGACAACAAAGAAGAAATCCACCTCAATTATCCGAGGAAGTTAAGAGAAGAGTCCATAGAACAAAGAGAAAAGAGCAAATACTGTGAATTCCACAAATGTAGGTCACTACATCAAACACTACTGGCAATTGAAGAAAGAAATAGAACATCTATCTAAAGAGGGTACTAAAAAGATTCATCAGAAGAAACGAAAACCTGAAGCATTCTACCGAACCCATAGTTGAGTCATCCAAAGAAGTAGGCAAACAATCGGTAAGATCCAAACTCTTGATACGATTAAAATGATCTTCTGTGGTGCTGTAAGAGGAGACACTAGCTTAATAAGAAAGAGGCATGCTCAGGAGATCTACTCAGTTTATATCGAACATGTAGCAGAACCCTTTGTGCAAACCTATCACTATCTTCGAAGAGGATGCTGAGCATGTGCATTTCTTGCATCTGACACCTTAGTGTTGAGGATGTAATAGAGAATTATAAAGTTTGAAGAATCTTAATAGACGATGGTGTGAATACCCAAATTTTGAGGCTCAGAAAGCCTATTTTTCCGGACTGCAAACAGTCCGGCCGGACCCTGCAAAACAGGTCCGGCCGGACGGAGCTATTTCGGAAGTCACGAAAATAGTCAATATGGTACTTAAAACCGTCCGGAAAATATCGCTGAGGATTCGACGGAACAGTCCCGGATTAAATATTTTATTTATTTTTTCGGAGGTCCGGAACTCCCAAAAAGGCCCTCGGACGAGGCACGGTTCCACACCGGCCACGCGGCGCCGCCGCCGAGAGGAAACGACGGGGCAGCAGCCGCCCCACTTCCTGGGGCAAGGCCTGCCGCCCAGCCGTGGGCCCGACCGCCTGCCGCCCAGCGCGGCGGGCCTGACGCCCGGGGCGGGGCCGCCGCGCGCGCGGGCCGGGCCGCCGCCCAGCGCGCGCGGCCTGACGCCCTGCGCGGCGAGGCCTGCCGCCAGCGCTGCGCGGCGGGGCCTGTCGCCCGCGCGGCCGGGCCTGCCCCAGCACGCGCGGGCCCCTGTCGCCCGCAGCCAGGCGGGCCTGGCCCCCACGCCTGGGCGGGCACCTGCCGCCCCAGGACCCAGGCGGGGCCTGCTGCCCCACCGACTGGGCGGCCAGCTGCCGGCGCCTCCCAAGCGCGCACCCCCGCCCAGACCAGGCGGGCCGTGCCGCCCCACCGACAGGGCGCAGCTGCCGCCCCTCCGGGCGCACCTGCCGCCGAGCCAGGCGGCGCTCGCCTTCCCGGCGGCACCTTGCCGCCCGACCCGAAAAATGGCCTAATAAATAGGCCATTTTCAGTCCAATTTAGGCACATCCTGTCTGTTTTGACGGACGAATCCTTCTCCGCTCTCACGCTCCTTGCGTTTCTTACCGCTTTTTGCATTGTTAATTATAATTTTTATTGCATTTTATTGTGATATTTGACCAACTTAAAATTAAATAAAATTAAAAAATTAATTAATATTACTAACGAGGAGCTTAACCTGGAGTTAAGAATGGTTCGACGATTAAATCAGGTTACGTAAACGAAACTCTGCCTATAATTTAGCACTTCATGCATATTTCTCTTCTACTCTTAATAATTTCTATAATTGATAAACGCATTCACGATCATCATTTAGACAATTAAAACCGTCTTAAACTTAATTTGATTAAGCTTTAATGCCGGTTAATCAATAATCATAGTGGTTATTAAAGTTAAATCCGACAAGTATTGGCTAAAAGAGAGCCTAGTTAATTAAAT